ACCAACTAGTTTTTTTTTTTTTTTACATTAGCAGAATATAGACAAGGACTTGTGCATATTTGTAATGGAAAATCAGCTTTAGAAAGCTTTGAATAATTGTCTTCCTGCCTTCAGCTCAAGCATTTCCTCAAGCAGTTTCCCTTGTCATATGTGTGAGAGCTGGAGCATAGCAATCAGTCTGACCTGCATTTTTGAAATTCACCATCCCCCTTTTTCTTCTCCTCCTCCTTCTCTGCCTCCCCCCGCTATCCCTCACTCACCTACCCATCTCCACCTCCATAGCTGTGGAAGTCAGACGACTTTGGGGAGACGTGGGTGTTGATCCAGGAACATGTGAAGACCTACTTTTGGTAAGACAACAGCTGTCTCTGTTTGTGATGTTCAGACCTTGCACAGGAGTGTGAATGTAACGTGAATGGGAGGAGTGTTCTGGGCTCTGTGGTATGTTCTCTGAATTTACAGTGAAAAAAAAGAGGAGATTCTTCCTTCCTGAAAATATCAGTGGAATGTAAGAACATTTGGTTGGAAAATCCAGCTGGGTTCAGTTATGTCAGCACCAGCATCATACGTCATGCTTTCATGGCTGAAAGAGTTGAAGAAGGGTAAATGTGGACAATTAGTTGGCCAGGTTAAACAATGTTAAAGATGACACAAAGACATTTAGTTGACATTCTGCTCCAGATTATTCAGATGACGGGGTTGATTGTCCGTTATAGTCAACCCCCATGTCTTTCTTTTGCATTCTCAAAACTTCACCACCATTTATGTGAATTTTAACGTCATCCACTAAATTTATTAGGGATGCACAATTGTCTTTTGACAGGTAAAAAGCCTGTTTATTTGTAGGATTGATTTTAAGATTTCATTGCTTATTTTTTAAATCTGAAAAGGATATCTCTGTGATCTAAATATGCACTCTGCAGAAAGAGTGCTTGAGTGCTTGTTCTCTTGGATGTTCTGAGATTCCGGTTAAAATTCAGAGGTGGTCAGACTTTTGCAATTTGTGCTCCTAAACGTTAGAACGGTTTACCTTTTCATTTATGGACCGCCGAGACTGTTGAGACTTTTAAATCTTTGCCCCGACACGTTTTTTTTTTTTTTTTTTTTTTTTTTTTTTGTTTTTTTTTTTAAACGGGGTTTTTTTTTTTTTTTTTCACATTAATGGTTTTTTTTTTTTTTTTT